CTGGCTTGTACCAGTTCATTTTCAGGAATCTTGCGAGTTATTTATTATATAGCCATTATTAACAAATAAATTATACTAACATGGAATTAAATAAGTTATATCAAATGAAGGCAACAAACACTCAAAAGTTCACTCCTTCTTAATTGTTTTATTTTATGCTGTTATTTACTAAAAGATCTGTATAGTAGAAATACTATGTAATGGTGCACTACTACACATTTTTTCCCAACTCTGCATCCAGTAATATCATCTTGGTAGCTTGAATTTAGCCATGGTAAGAATATTTACACCATGGAAATTGCTAAGTTGTGTGTTATGGTTTGTGTCTAGATGTCCCCCAAAGCCTCATGCAGTCATAGGTGGGGCTTTTCAGAAGTGACTGGATCTAGAGTAGGTGATGATGCAATTAAGTCTCTGATGCTTGGATTAAGAGTGTATGATTACTAAATTAGTCCACTGATTGGTTTGGCATAGTCCTAGGTGTGGATAATAGGAAGGTCCACCCTGGGTGTGAGTGCTACCCACCTTAAGGGTGTGTACCCTGGATAGAATATAAGGAACAGAAACAGGGTTGGTGCCATTGCTGGCTGCTTGCTGATTGCTACTTTGCTGCTTTGCTGCTTTCCTGCCTTTTGTCTGCCATGGACTGTTTTTTCTGTGTGAGGTCCCTCTGCTACATCACCCTGCCTTAGAGGCAGCCAACTATGGACTGAAGCCTCTACAAACTGAACTGCAATAAACCTTTCCTCCTTTAACTTTGTGTGTTGGGCATTTTGTCTCAGCAATGAGAAAAGTAACTAAGACATTGTGTAAATAAGGGCTTTTTCTTTTTTTTTTCTGTAGAGTGGATTGTTAAAATATTTACCACTAGATATGAGTGAAAGTGACATTTTAAATTAACTGGAATGAGTTTATATAAAGATATTTGTTAGTCAAAATTTCAAATAAACACAAAAGATAGAATTTTAAGAATATCCATGTACCCATTCTCTAGCTTCAATAATTACCATTTTGTCAATCTTGCTTGATCTCCTGCTCTAACTTTTTTCTGAAGTTTTGTAAATTGAACTTCAAATATTACAGTTTTTAATCTAAAAATACCTCATACATCTCTAAATGCTTAGGCACATAGAAAAGATATAACCACGATTTTATTATACCAAAAAGTATTAACAGTAATTTGATGCTATTTTTTAATACTAGTCCATATTCAAATTCCCTGATTATTTGAAAGGTGTCTTTTTAGAGTTAGTTTGTTTGAATTGAAGCTAACCATGTGAACTGGTCTTTTTAATAACTGAAAGAGACCAGAAAGTTATAAGAGCTGTCTGAGATATCATTAAAGAGCAGGAAAAGCAGATTTGACAGAACATAGTTCAAAGTGAGGATTAGAGTAAAATAAAACTGTTTCATGTTTATACCCTACTGAGATCAGATTCTTCAATAAACTGGTTATACAAAGAAGGACAAAATATGTTCTATGCCCTAAAAAAGGATATAGTCTAGGACAGTAGTGGTACATAATTTTTTTAGGGGAGGGTGGGATCAAAGGACCCTTTGGCCTGCATGTGCATGCTCATACTGGCATATAGATTTTTGCATGTAATTTAATTTTTGAAACCATAAGATTTCATTCTGGAACCAATGGAACCAAAACTAAGACTTAGGACTTAGAAGGAAGTAGGAAGACATGTAAATAAGTAATTACAATCCAAGAAGATAATGTTAAAGGCAAAGAATACCAAGTGCTATTGGAGCCCAGAAGAAGAATATGGCTACTTTTACTTAGTAGCAGGGAAAATGACATTGACTGTGGAGTCTGACATTTTGATAAGAGTTTGCCAATCACAGATGATGACTAGGGCTGGCATGCCAAATTTGGGTTCACAAAGAGATGGTGTTAAAAAGACAGCTTGGCCAAGGGGTCAAGAGCCACATGGACGCATGAAAGAATTAGGTTTTAATTTGTTCTAGTCATTGCAGGATTTTGAAATGGAGAATGAGATGATCAGATTCTCATATGAAAAAGTCCAATGGAGCAACAATGTAGGGAGGAATTACAGGTAGGGAGACTGGACACAACAAAGCCTCAGAGCAGCTATTGTTATAGTCAAAGGAAATGATGACAGAGACTGGACTATTACTTGATCCATGAGCTAAAAGAAAAAGAAAGGATTTGGGGAAATATTTAAGAAATTAAAGGAGGGGAGTGCACAGACATAGATAGATAGATGATAAAGAAAATAAAATCCAAATGAGAAAGATTCCCAGCTTTAGAGATCTGATAGAGATGTAATAATGCCATTTACTGAAATAAGGAATATAAGATTCACAGGTGTGGTTAGGAGGGGGTAGAAAAATGCCATAGGTTTAGGGAATGTTAAATTTGAGGCATCTCTAGAATATATAGGAAGGGATTCCCAGAAACAGCTTGAAAAAGAAATCTGTCTAGAAGTTACCCCAATACTTTGGATGCAAGCCAAATATGGCTTGGGTCATTTACAGTGTGAAATTTTCTTATCATCAGAGAGAGGTGGTAGTTAATTTTGGGACTCAGTGAACTTTTAGAGCTTCTCCATGATCAAAATTTTATCATTGAAAATTTAATCCAAGATTTGGGGATTTTAAAAATACCATTAATCTCATATTCTCCTTTTGTTTTCTTCCAGTCTGATTTCATCTCCAAACTAAAGATCTTTCAAAATACAAATCACATCATATTGATATTTTGCTTAAAACCTTTTATTAGTTCCCTCTTGCCCCAAGACAAAGCCCTAACTCAAAGTCTCTTTTCCTCTTCTACATACTATTAATTCTTATTCAGTGTGGATATAGATTCTTTTAAGGGACCCTTTCCTAAACCCTCAGGTCAGGCCTTGGTGAAGTAGAAAATAATGTAATCAACTTTTTAGCTATTTGCACAGGAGCTGAGTGAAAGAAAATAAATGTGTAATTTTTACCCTAGAAAGTCAGGGAGTAACATGAGCAAAAGAATAGATCATTTGAGTCATGTTAAATTTTGTATTATGTTTTGCAGACACCTTATAAGACAAATGTTAAGCTAATGCTAAGCACACTAAGAGAATCTGTCAGCCCAAAACTATGTTCCACCTTTAAGGGACCAGAGCTTTGCATTTCTTAGGAGCATTGATTAGTGGAAGTGCAGGTCGATCAAGGCTTTTGTGTTTGCATTTAAATGTTAATCAATCACATTTTATTAAAAATTTAAGGCAAAAATGAGAATGAAAAAGTATATGGGTCTGTAGTGATGACAAACAAGTCAAGGTAAAGTCCATTCTGAGATGATTGAGAATTTCATAATGTGTGGAATGTCAGGAACCCATCTGGGCAACAGATACTGGTGTTGGTAATGATTATTTGAGCTTGAGGGTGGGAGTAATGAACATTTATTGACAAATCTTTACTTTGCAAGATGAGAAGCAAGATGCATGTCTAAGATGTCTGGCCAAATTAACAGTGCACCTAGGCATTCTTTTAATCATTTCACAAAAAGTTATAGTAATAATTATCATTTAAAGTGTTTTAACACCACTTAAAAAGGAAATTTTGTAGTTGTAGTTAACATCTGTACAACATAAAATTTACCATTTCAATAATTTTAAATGTACAGATGTGACATTTACATTGCTCTAGTAACATTATCACATCCAACTCTTGAACTCTCATCTTTTCTCAAAATGCAACTTTATACACAATATACAATAACTTTATCATTCCCCCAATTCTATCCTATATCAATCACTATTCTACTTTCTATCTCTATGAATTTGATAAATCTGTTTTTGATGAATCTATGTATTTCATATATACAATCATACACTATTTCTTCTTTTGTGACTAGTTTATTTCACTTAGTATAATTTCCTCAAGTTTCACCCATATTGTAATATGTGTCAAAATCCCCTTCCTTTTAAGACTTACATATATATATATATGTAAGTTACATATATATGTAAGTTTTATATATATATATATATATATATATATATCCATTCACCCATCAAAACATGCTTGGGTTGCTTCCACTTTTTAGCTACTTTGAATAATGCTGATATGAACAAGGGTATGACAAGTACTTGTTTGAATTCCTACTTTGAATTCTTTTGAGTATATATCCAGAAGTGAAATTTTTGGATCACATGATAATTCGATATATAATTTTTTGAGAATTTACCATACTGCTTACTGTAGCAGCTGTTCCATTTTACATCCCCATCAGCAATGCACAAGTGTTCCAAAGTGGTATTTTTAAATTTGAAAGTTAGAAGAAAAACACTGCAAAATGTTGGGAAGGAAAGATGGGCTATAAAAAGCCAAGTGGAAGAAAGTTGCTCTTACTTTTTAATTATCTAAACCAGTAGAGCTTCCCAAATGATGAGTCTTGAATAGGTTTCAAATATGTTCCATGTAGCCCTTAGGGTGGAGTGTCAATTTGATTGGTTTTGGGATCCACCCCAAGGATTGGTGGAACACATGTCTAGGTGTGTTTGGGTGTGTCACAGAGGTGTGGCCTTGGAGTCTATATATGGCCCCTGGCTTGTTCCTCTTGGGTGCTGTTTTCTTGCTCTGCCTTCCAGTCTTCATGAACTAAGCATCTTTGCTTTACCTGTTGTTTCTGCCTTGGAGCCAGTTAACCATGGGCTGAATCCTCCTGAAAGGGTGAGGCAAATTAAACATCTCTTCCTTCAAATTGTGGGTGTTTGGTATTGTGTCTCAGTGACAGGAAAGCAGATTAATATACTGATATTGATACTCCATCTTTGGGGATATGAAAGGGGCATCTGAGAAATCAAGCAGGGCCTAGGGCAAAACCCTGTGGCCTAGAACACTAGTATGTCTTACGGATATGATTTTCTATGTGGGTTAGTACATAAAAAAGGGTAGGAGACACTGCTCAAAACTCTAAAGTGAGGAGGAGATTCAAAAGCATAAAGTATCCACTCTACAAAAGTATTTATTGAGTATATGTTCTGTTCCAGGTGCTGAGTCAAACTGTGGATACCTGAAAAGTGCTGTAATGTAAATAAGATTAAAAAATTATTGCCAAAGAGCTCTGTTTTTTGAAGGTAAGAAACAAATAAACAGCTAGAATTCAGCATTGAAGGTGTCTCCTGGAAGTGGAAGAACTACATGGCATTACATATACATCCTACCATCCCTCACCCATTCAGATCATGAGATCTGTAGAGAAAGCTCTATGAACTCTTTATTTTCCCTGCCATTGGGAAGTCAGTTGCAATATTTGTTTCTCATCTGATAGCATGTGGATGTTCAGGGTAACTTGGGCATGTTAGGAGACAAACTCTGTGGACTAAACCTACCTGTTAAAATTTTTAGTTGTGTCTGATGGACAAAGTTTAAAGACTTAAAATTTATCTTTTGCATGACAATTGAAAAAGAACTATGAAGCCTCAAGAAAGCCATCTGTGTTAGTTACTTTTCTCTTGTTGCTGAGACAAAATACTCAACACCCAAAGATAAAGGGGGAAGGTTTATTTAGCTCAGAGTTTGTAGAGGTTTCAGTCCATAGTTGGCTGGCTGAGTGGCAGAGTGGCACATATCAGGGAATGAGGTAGCAGAGAAAAAAGTTCATGATGGGCAGAAGAAAGCAAAGCAACAAGGGACCTTAACAATGTCTTTCTGCCCCTTATGTCTTATCCAGGCTATTTAGGGCAGGTAACACTCACACCCTTAATCATAGTGCCCTTGAGCCTAGCATTGCACCATGAATCAATCATACACTCTAGATCCAGCTGCCTCTGAAAAAGCCCCATCTATGACCACATGAGGCTTTGGGGGGACGTCTAAACAAAAGCCATCATGCCATCTCTGAGACTTCTCCTTTGTCAGAGCTTCAGGCTGATTTGGGCTCTAGTTTTCTCTGTTCTCAGTCCCTCGGGTTTATTTCTTCTGAAAACACATATCATACAGTTCTTTAGTATGTACTTACTTAGCCTCTCTCTCTCATTTAACTGCAAGTGTCATGGAATTGGGGCAGGAGAGTAGGGCATGGCAGACTGGCTGGGGAAGTGGCCATGATCTGTTAATTGCAAAGCTCCAGGACACATATGCAGAACAGTTCCCAAAGCCCTGCAGATGGACTTCTCATGAGAACTTGAGCAGTTTTGGATAGGACAAAGGCCTGACCGTCAGTCTGAGTGGGAGATACAGAAAGGACAGTCACCACTGAACTCTCTCCCTCTGTGTTCATTGACAGTAATCCACTCTCACATGGAAGAGCATATTTCTTTTCCTACCTTTAATAAATGTAGAACCCTCCTACTGTTTGCACTCATCTTGACCAATTCTTTGCTCAGAACAGAAAGAACCTAGAAACCACCTCCAGAAGGAGACATTAGCACCCCAAAACCTGGTAACAAAAGCAGAAATGTTTGTGGGATGAATGAGTTAATGATCAGAGAGCTAAAAATTGACAAGAATTATTTACAGAGAGTATTAACATATCCACAAGAACTAGGAGAGTTCACTAAGAAGAGGTAGACATTAAACAAACCTCCAATGCTGAGTTTTTGAAGCTATGGTATGGTGGCATGATATTATCAATATTCCTATGGTAATATTTTCAAAGGACCCTTTTAGACTTCTTTTCAAAAGTCCTCTCTTCCTTTTCCTTAGGTAATGAATATGACTGAATGCCTACGTGAGTTGCAGCTATCTGAGTTCATTGTGTTATTTGTGTTTATTTTTTGGGTGGTAGTAAATGGGCCACACATTATCTGAAGTTCTCTTAAAGGGTTATTGTTATTAGCAGAATCATCTTTATTTTCCATATGATTTGAATGCTTGAATTATACATATTTTTGAGTCTTGTCTACTGATGGATTACAAAAGGGATTCGTTTTAGCTTTTCTATTTTTGTCTACAGGTAAGATTATTTCTAAATATCCAAGAAAGGATATCCCAGAAGAACTGAAAAATTGTGAGTTGAGGACTTTTATAAAAAAAAACTTTGGTAATTAATGTTTTGATCTGAAATGTTGTGAAAGCACACATACCCTGAAAGAAAGAGTATAAGAAATTTCTTTTTAATACAGAACAACAGTATTTTAATCTGGTTAAAATTCTGGGAAACACTGGAAATCCCCAGAGCAAAGTGCCAGATGTCATTTTTGGATCCTGGATACATGGGCTTGGCTGCTAAGAAGATGATGCCTCCTCCCCCCGCCACACTCAGCTGACACCTGAGCAACAGAGAGTTGATGTAAGCAGATCAGGGATCTAACAATGTCAACTGTGCTGACATCATCCTAGCTGTGCAGGGCTGATGGGAATTCAGAATATCAAACATCATATCAAGGGCAGCGACCAGGTGTGACTCATTTCCCTGGAGAAGTAGGGGAGAGGAAGGGAGAGAACAGGATTATCTCACGCGGACACTCACGTAGCCTTTCAGACTGAGCTATTTGACTGCCTTATTTGAAAGCAGAAAAACATTATTCTGTTTCTGACACATTTTTGTACCGGAAACACTTTTTATTCTAGTCTTATGTATCTCAATGTATAATTGAGTACTCCAACATCATAGTTCATGAAAATACACATTCTTTGGGAGCATTACTTTTTATATTACATAAGCTTTACTATGAGAACAATTCAATAAATTTCGCTTTTTTCCATTTCCCCTTCAGGTATCATCTAGTGAACTGTTCAGATACTACTAAATTGAAAAGAAACAAAAGAGCATGATAAAGGGCTGATGACACTGTGGTGGTATTATTAAATGAGTATAGCATTTTAGGGTCTTACCAGAATATATTGCTGGGAGAGGGGGACAGGATGCATGGTCAATGCTCAATAATTGCTTCTAGGATAAATAATACAAAAGCCTATATATTTGTAAGTGTGGGCATCAGTATATAGGCTTTTATCTACTTGTGGAGTTGATTATTTATCAACTGACTTTAAGAGATAGTGGATAGTAAAATTGAATGCAGTAATCATTTCGATATTAAGGTACAAGTTTCACCAATCTCTTGTCCATTTGAACATTTCATTAGAATGATTGAGTCGGAGCAATGAAGTCAGAAAGGAGCGTTCATCAAAGCAGTCAAAAAGGCTTTCTACAGGTTTAAAGTGTGATAACATTGTAGAAAGTGCTGTGAAGTGATTCATGGTTGTATTTCTTTAGAAATGATCCCAATATGTCTTTTCACTCTATGGAATATTAATTTATCTATATTTTGTGTCAGTCACAACACAAGGAACCAGAGAACAATGATTGTTTTTACCATGTACTTAATGCTAAAAAAATGCCATTTGTTTTTCCATTTACTGTGCATGTTTAGTAAAATGGCATATGCAGGACAGATTGTGAAGCATATTGAAATCAATGTGTATTGGTTATGATTGGTATAGATTGAATAGCCCAGAAACAGAATGGTGTGCTACAGATTAATCTATTGGACATTACTTGCATAATGCAGATGATGTTTGAGGCAAAATGAGAGGAGAATGTGCCAAGGGACAGGTGGATTTCTTACAATGATATGGGGAATGACAAAAAGAAATCTAGGTTGTTGTTATATGATATTAAGTAAGTTGGTAAGAGAGGCAAAATGATAAGAGAGGCTAAAGAAGCCTAAACTTTAGATAGAGAGTGGTAACAGGGATTGCCAATAGTTTTTCAAGATGAGTAATGAAGAAAAATAGGATACTTTGGAAATATTAATGTGAGAGGCTGATGGACAGAAATGTGAAAGAAAAAAGCCTGGATAATATTGATCTGATCCCTCTAGAATCTGCAGAGTCAAGAGTGCTATGAGCTCTGTTTAGGAGTATTTTGGAAAACAAGAAGCTAGAAGAAGAAGGTAATATTTGAGTTTCTAGGAGCAGGATAAATACCAAATTGGCCAAAACAAACAAGAAAACTTGTCCTTAGAGATCAAAGCAAACTGCCATTAAGAGGAAAGGGTATGCCAATCCTGTAATTATGAATTTGAGGATAAATTGGAGTTTATTTTATAGAAAATTTACCTGGTGGAGTCAATGATGACTTCCCACCATCAATCTGTATGTGGGTCTTAAAGAGACAAGAGGTTAGGGTGTGGCAAAACTGCCTGGGAAAGTAGATCCTGGAACACATGCACAGAACAGTTCCCAAAGCCCTGAACATAGACTTCTTATGAGAACTCAAGCAGGTTTTCAATAAGATGGCTTAGGCCTGACATCAGCCTGAGGTGTGGGATCCCCGCACTGCCTCTCAGGACCCATATGTAGAAGTTCTCATGGGTTTACTTGAGATGTAGATGGCATAAAAGGACACAGATGCCAAGAAGAGCTTGCTGCTGTGGCTTTCCTCATGATGACTATCCCTGTGTCTGAGAGGATGTACTTATATCTTGGTTTTTTCTGTTCTTTTTGGCTCAAGCTCACTCTGGAGATTCAGTTTCTCCCTCACTCTTCACTTCTGCTTTTTCAAATAAACTTTGTCACTGAATTATGCTTGTTTCATTCAATTCTTTGTTTGAGGTCAAAAGAACCTGGAATCCAACTTCAGAAGGAGATGCAAGCACCACAAAACTTGGTAACATTTATTTGGCAAGCCACTTTTAGAAGGAAACTATCTGGTAACAATAGAAACAATGGACCTTCAATGAGATTTTGAAATATAATCTGATTTAAGTTAAGTGCTGGAAAAGCCAGGCTTGATGGCACGTAGCTGTAGTTGCAGCACTCAGTAGGCTGATGCAGGAGTATCACTGGGTTTGAGCTCACCCTGGGTTACATAGTGTGTTCAAGGCCAACATAAACTACATGGTGAGATCCTGTCTTAACAAAAAAGACAACTGGTGGAGATGGTTGTGTTAGAAAGGGATTGACAATTATATGATTGTCTAGAAAGGCTAAGTTGATTATGGACAGGTTGCTGATTGCAGTGGTACCTGGGATCACAAATTTAATTTGTTCCATGATTCTGAGGAAGATGGCTACATTTGCGTTCATGGCCGAGGTCATGTTTGTCAACTGATATGAAATTCATGAAGAGAAGCAAAATTTTGCCAAACACTTTTGTTTGCAAAATGAATTGTTTGAGAACAGAAGTACTTGTGAATGAAGGTATTACTTTTTTTTTTCATTAAGTTTATTGGTACATTTTAGGTATACAATACAGTTACATTCATCATTGGGAACTTGTACCTTTACATGATGTATCTTGGTTTTTATTTTTTCCCCATTCCCTGCCCTCCCTTTAACCCCTCCACTGCTCCCTATAGTACCAAGGTATTACTCTTATGTGACCATTATTTAGGAGTCCAACTATTGCCTAGAAGGCCATCATATATAATTTAGAGAAATACAGAATTTGCTGCAATGGTTTTAGCTAAAAACACAGTGTGATGCCAAATTACAGAAACTTCACTAACCTTAGAAAGGGCAAAGATTCATGGACATGATGTGGGGTCTGCAGAGTTGGTGGAGGTAGTTGGTAGAGTAGAGTATGATATGGAAGAGAAGTTAATGTGGTACATTCAGAAGCAAGAACTAATCCAAATCTCTTGTCATCCATGAGACAAGTTTTAAGGATGCCTTAAAGAGTTTAAATGACTCAGAACATGTTAAATCTTTGTATGAGTTGGATCTCAAAAGGTGCTTGAAAATCACTTTAGGCTGGCAGATTCAGAACTTTTTTTCAGAACTTTGCAGGAGTGAATTCTTATACTGATGCTAAAGTAAAGCCTCTGAACATTTCCTGTTCCTAATTTGGACCCCAGCATGATCTTTGGTCTCTTGGACACAGCTAAAATAATGCCAGCCTACACTGTCTGCAGAGAGGGGGTGATTCCCTATCCAGATAGAAGCTACTTAGTACATGTATGATGGCTTCATTGCTAAGACAATAGTAGACTCAACCCACAACTCTTAGATTTTATATTTGCTCAAATCTTGACTATGTAGTTTGTACTTTTTGTAGCAGACTCTAGGCAAAATGGTATGCAAATGACCCTGCCTTTATGCCATAAATTCAGCACCATGATGGTATTTAGCAAAGAGACCCAGAATATCCACATCCAGATCTTTACTGGCCATTCTTACCTAGAAAGATTACAAGAAATATTTACATAGAAGAGGCAAATTAAGGAAAAGTAACATACTATTATAGCTGGGGCTTTGGACTCAAATCCAGCACAGAACTCTGATAGATTTGGAGGGACTCTGAAGTTCTTTCTTTTTCAGAAAATTAAAAAAGGCTATACTAGGGCTTGAACTCAGGATTTTTGCAATAAGCTATATCCCCAGTCCTTTTATATTTTTTTATTTTGAGACATGGTCTCACTAAGTTATTAAATTGCCCAGGCTGAGTTCAAACTTGTGATCCTACTGCCTCACCCTCCCAAAGGGCTGAGATTACTGGTGTATGCCACCACATCCTGAAAATCATTTATTTAAAATATATTGAATTACCCAAAACTAAAGAGGCTGAAAGGCCCAGTTGCTTTATTTATGCCTTCCAGCTAACACCTGGGCTTATTTATTACAATGTTGGCCTCACAAACTATTGAGAATGAGGGAGAATGCAATACTAAAGGACCATTGCCTCAATGCCTAAGTAAGGTGGATAAGGGTATAGATGTCTGTGTTTTATCCTTAATCTTCAAGATAAGGGACATTAATGTCCTAAAGGAAAATTGGAGGTCATTCCTGATTGCTTTTGAAAATTTTGACTCTTGGAAGTGGGACCCAATGTCTGTACTTTGATTTGGTCAGTCCATCTTCTATTTGACAGTACAAAGGTAAGCAAGCAGCGGAGGAATATCCATGTGTTCTCATCAGTGAAGAAGGTCCTTAAAGAGCCAATAGTTACCTTATTCTCATCAGAAATTTTACGTTGTTCTTAGCCTAATGGAAAATTTTAAAATAACTCATATTTATTGAATATGTCTGTAGGAAACTCTGCTATTAAATGGAATTTATATTTGTGGTTTTTCTGGGCTCATCATGACAGATTCAGGATATTAATATTGAGAATGCTTGAGGGGAAAATACTTGGGGCCCACAAACACAGTCTGTGGCTCAGATCCTCACAGCAATGTCAATATCATAATAAGACATATAATTTAAAGCTTTTACTATTAAGACTACATCAAGATTTTCCCTGTCCTTTGAAAAAAATGCTGCTTGTGGTCATTTCTGCACTTTTGCTTCAAATCTCTCATTATTTTTTGACAGGACCCCATACTAATGTTAAATTTATTTAGATATAACTTTCCTGACACATATTTCAATTTGTTATTTCACAACATTAATTTTGTTTTGAATTGTATATTTCCTGAAGCACATCCCTTTCTTGCTCAAGAACACAGTTTTCCATTTGGAAAAAACAGTTTTCCATTTTGATTGAGGGATCGAACATTAAGGGCTCATCTTTGTACAAAAGATAATTAATTATTTATGTGAGTCAGAGAAATGTGTAGCTTTTTGCAGTGTGTGGGAAATGGAGACAGTGAATATCCAACCCTTTTGATTGATAGTTATATTAAAGGTTGTAGTCAGTTAAATAAGTCCCTTTGCGTTGATCTGATAAGAACCTTATGGATTTTTAAAAATATTATTTCAGTAAATATTTGTTCTGCCCCATTTTTTAACTGCTATTCACCAAAGGGTCACCTGAATATCATTATACAGTATTGTTTAATGTGTATTTTGAAAAACAATATTCAGTAATACTTTATTTTTGAAAATTATGTTTCCTAACTAAATATTGACCTTCAAGGTCTGAGGTTATTGCATTGATCTTTTTCCAAGGGTTCTGAAAAGTCCCTTCAGGCAAAATTATTTAACATAATTGGTTTCTTAGCATACTGGGAGATCAGGTACACTGTAGTCTAGTTAATGCTCTGATTGGAACTGAAATGATCATACTGACTAAAGTCAGGCTATAATTTCCTCTGCAGCAGGGACTGGAAACTTTTTCTGGGTTTAATATTTTTCTTCTTTGAGTTCCAACCCATTATTACTTATTAGAGACTACTTTCAAAAAGAAAATAAAATTCTCCTCCAAAAACACACTGTAAACATAAAGGTTGAAAAACTTTCTTCCTCTCTGTTTCTTCCTTCTTTCCTTCCTTCCTTCCTTCCTTCCTTCCTTCCTTCCTTCCTTCCTTCCTTCCTTCTTGTATCATTTAGTTGCTTTTAAATATTTTCCCCTCATTTGCAAAGAATATTTTAGAAGTTGAAGGGCTCAGTTTGGGCAGTATCCTTTACTAGTGACATTAATTCTTTATGTGTAACAGGCACAGTGACTCAACTATACTTGGTTTCTTCCACTGAGTCATATCTAGATGTTAAGTGCAACTCATTTTCTTCCCTATCAACATTTATATACCTTTTTAGAACTCCTTAATCCCCAAACTCTCATGGAAATAATAAGTTACCTTTAAACATTAAACTTACTGTGAAACGTGCTCCTTTTTAAAAACGAAATGAGTCATCAAAAGTATCTTTAATATGGTTATGTAATACAGTGGTGTTTATTTGCCTCTGTGAATATAAATTAAGCCTCTATTTTGTGGTCTGTCCAGGTGAGAGACTTGGACAATATGACCTGGTTGGCTGCTGAAGGAGTATAACTTCACAAGCAGGAACAAACAGAAATAATCCTCACTAGAAGGCACTTTCAGAGAGGCATTCCTAGATGAGCATCAATCATCAATGACTGCCACTGAGGGAGATGAAAAGTGCAAAGGTCTTTAGGAAGGAAGATAATAAAACCCATCCAAAGATGGGGCAAGACAAGAAACCATGCTTTTTAGAATTAAAACATTTACAAAATTATTGACCTCAAAAAATAAAAAGAAGATGGATTCTTGCTAAAAGTAAATTTGTGACTTAGGAGAGCCAATGGAAGGACATCTATCTCAACAGGGTAAAAAGAGAGAGAGAGAGAGGGAGGGAGGGAGGGAGGGAGAGAAATGAATGCAAAGCTTAGAGACCTTGAGTAAGCAATCAGAAGATCTAACATGTAACTCAAGGGAAGGAGGAGAAGAGGACGTATGGAGTAAAACTGAGAATTTAAAAAGCAATATACTTTTTTGTCTGTAAATTGAAACGGCTTATCAAAGGTCAGGTTAGATTAATGAAAATAGATGTAGAACTAGATATACTTTGATGGGACTTTCTTGTTGGAGGGAGATTTTGAACTCAGGGCCTCATGACATGACAGCGAAGCACTGTATCACTGAGTTTTTTGGTGGGATTATTAAGTTACAAAGATAAAGTGAAAACTGTTCAAGTTTTCAGGCTTAATAATTACACCTAAAGGCTCAGTGGTACACTGCTATTTGTCATGTTGACTGGGTCCATACATGGGCAACTTAATGAGACCCTATCTCAAAATAAAAAGGGCTG